TAATTCTTTCGTTCATCTTGGTTACCTTTGCGATTACTAATTAAGTTAGTCTCTTAAGCGTAGCTCATTTATATTTCTAAACTTTACTAGTATTTTTGTCTGTCTTCATATGTTCGTTTTCTTTTTTTCTTCTTCTTATTTTTTCTCTGGCTCAAGGCTTTGTTGCTGTTTGTTAGCATAGCTATTGTGCATTTAAGAATTGGTGTTAGGTTTTATTCGATAGAATACCTAGAAATTCATCAAAATGTTATCATTGAATGTAAGGGGGTTGTGTAATCACATCAAGCGAAGGGCATTGTTTTTGTATCTCAAGAATCAAAAAGCAGATTTCTATTGTCTTCAGGAAAGCTTTTCGTTAAAGGAAGATGAAGTCCCTTGGGCTTCAGAATGGGGTGGGAAAATACTTTCCTCACACAGTACAAAACATTCCAAAGGTACTTGCATATTGCAAACTCTTGCAACCTCTTTGTTCTCTTTAGAGTGTCTGTCTATTGATCCAAACGGTAGATTGGTTATCGCAAAAATCAAGCTAGGTGACAAAGATTTTTTTCTAGCTTCCATTTATGCTCCATGTGATTCCCAACAGCAAACTTTGTTTACACAGAACTTATGTACAGATATTGTCTCTAAAACAAACACATCCAGAACAATAATCCCTGGTGACTGGAACACCACTCTTCATTCAATAGATAAACACTTATAATATTTAGCCCCTTGTTCTATTTCAAATGCATCTAGCAATATTTCTCTGATACCATTGGCTAGCCACCCATTCAATCTGGTGTACAACGAGGTGGCGTGGGTTGTAGGAAAATTTTTTCCCTGAATATTGAAAATTGAATTTTACAGCTAAGTGTCTCAACACCTCTGTAACCCATAGTGGATGTAAAAATTGGTGAACTCCCACTCAATATAGTGAGAGTATTCTTGCCCCATCCATTTCGTAGGCATGTAGCTAAGATTTAACACAGTTGGATTTTTTTCCCAATGGGCAATGCAAGAGCATATACTAGTCAATGACAGAAAGAGTTTCAAAACCTAACCAATATTGTGGTAAAATCACTTTTAAGAGGCAAAGGTATTTGTTATGCAAAATGTCCAAATTAATTCTTCATTCGGACAGTATCCACATTAAAAAATAGCTGGTCTGCAATGCAAACTTCTGTGGGATTTCAGTCATATAAAAGTTGATGTGCTATGGATAAATCAGAGAAATTGTAGCTTTACAGTGAATACTGTTATACATTTTGTCACGTTGTAGTGATGAACGTCGAGTAAAAATACCGTAGAGTCCTGCTTATAAGATCCCAAGCTGCAGACAAAAAAACAGTAACTGGAGAAACATGTTTGGACTTTTAAGTTTCCAAGAAATTCGCTCCCTTAGGGTTCGGTTACACAGAACTCTTTACCGTGGTAAATGACCATTTTACCACAGGAAACTGCATTTAGTGAGTATGACCAATAATTTCAGAGGTAAATTTCCTGTGGTTAATACCCATGGATACATAAAAAAGATCACATGCAGCACCTTTGACATTTAATGTGGTAAGCTGCATTGGTGTTTTGCTGTCCAAGGTATTACAAGCAAATCATGTTTCCCCGTTTGTCATTAATATGTAACCGAAAAGGAAAAATGGTTTTCCTCCATGTGCCATTTTTGTTACCGTGGCAAAATCCTGTGTAACTGTTGTTTCACAATGTATACTAAAACCCAGCAAAAAAAACAAAAAACAACAACAACAAAAGTCAGCAGACATATATATCTAGCCCCAAGCTATTGGGGTGGGGGGGGGGGGGGGGTGTCATTGAAAGAGTCATTGAAGTAGACACATATCGCAGGTTAGGCTTGTTTTTCGCAGCAAGGGGCGAAAACAAATGACATCATCGAAAAGCAAGTGCATACGTGACGGTTTAGTTTTTGGTGGTGATTCTGCACCATGAAATCAACAATAATGTGGCCTGTTTCATCAGGATGCCAGATGACGTGCTACATAACTGGGACAATTAATGTCCCCAAACACAACTTTTGAATCGTGTTGGCTTGGGGATGTTTACTGTGGAAACAGCTTTATTTCATTGGCAACATTTCTCCTGGGATTTGTTGATTAGTTCCAGTGGAGACAAATAGTTCAGTTAGCCTTAGCTCTTATGCAGACACTCCCGCCCCCCCTCATGAAAAGTTCAGTCTGTATTCAGTCGAAATTGTTCAGAAAAGCACTCTAAAGCCGTAAGAGTAAGCCTGAACCAAGGAATGGCAATAGAAATGTTGTCTACTTTTATTCATCAGTGGAAATATTAGAATCAGTCACTGTTTGCACGGAGTTTGTTAACGATAAATCAGCTCCAATTGCAAATGTCAGCTAATATTATTGCTTCCAGCTGAGAAAACTATGTAAATTATACTTTAAGAAATTAGCTTTTGTGCTTAAACATGACCAGTAAATGTGAAAATGTTTAGCATGAAGTTTGAAGGCAATTGCAAATATTTAGTCCTTTTAAACTTGTGAGTCTACGGAAACTGCACCGTCACGCAATGTATAAAGAAATCATGGTTTATCAGTTGATAGGACCTCAACTTGCTAACCATAAATACACAGGAAAAGACTGGGCTTTGTCCTTATGTTATATCTGTCTGTAAAACTTTGGTTGTTGATATAAATATGCTGATTTTAGAAATAGACGGGAGTTGAAAGAAATGAAATCAATCAACAGTAAATTTTCTTCCGACAGTTGCAGACTGCGTGGCGCAGCATGCACAATGTCTACTAGAAGTCATTTTCCGCAGAAATTGTCGCGATTTTCAGCTGATCAAAGGAATTTCAATGAAACAATTTAAATATGCAATTACAGAAAGTTCTATCCAAGAACTGGAACTTTGTATGATTGATTGATTGTTCCTTTTTCATCCAAGAATTTTGCACATATACAGAAAGCGAATATTTACCCACCTTATAATAAATGGCATGTCAAAAATAAATACAGCAGCAAGTGTCTGAATAACACTAAGACCTGAGGGCTAAGACTACCTTCGAATCTCAAAAACAAGTCAAAATTTGCCAAAAAAACAACACCTGGTAAGAGTAATCACACTAATGGCCACCACACAAAAACACTCAACCTTTTGCTCATGGAACCCAGTCTACACGTCAAGTAGAAACCACGTGACAAATGCTTTGCTCTCGTGGAGAAATAAATAAATAAATATCGCTGGCGTTTACAAAGTGTGGGAAGTCCCACACAAAAATAATTTGGATGGTTCCCTTCCAGCAATGCTATTGTTAATAACAGGTGACAGGATTATTGACAAAATTCCTCAGATTGGCAAGGCAACATGCCAAATACAATTTTGCCAATCCTCAGAAGTTTTCTCATTAAATTCAAAAGCACACGGTTCTTACATAAATAAAGCATACATGTATACTATTTATATCCAATTAGAAATCAGGAATGTAGATTTTAGCTAGAAGCCACGCAATTATCTGGTGTTTGAATGAATTTTAGGCTAACAATATAGAATCAGTACATGTATAATTACCCGTCTGTCTTCATCACTTGGAGCATTATAACGATTCAAGCGTCGCGGGTCTGCAAAAAAATACTGACAAGGCAGCATGCCAAATACAATTTTGCCAATCCTCAGAAGTTTTCTCATTAAATTCAACAGCACACGGTTCTTACATAAATAACGCATACATGTATACTATATATGTCTAATTAGAAATCAGGAATGTAGATTTTAGCTAGAAGCCAGGCAATTATCTGGTGTTTGAATGAATTTTAGGCTAACAATATATAATTAGTGCATGTATAATTACCCGTCTCTCTTCATAACGTGGAGCATTATGAGGATTCAAGGGTGGCGTGTCTGCAAAAAAATTAATTCCATCTCTACTGAAATCTAAGGTGTAATTTACTGTCCAGTATTTCCTGTCATAACCCTCTCCTTGTGTAGCAAATCCAGTTATGTCTGTTATCATACCCAGATCAGCCTGTAATGGAACAAAATATGATATAAATAAAAATAAATCCAAATTGATTTCATCAATACTATTTTTAATATTGTCATCATGTTAGGGTTTTACACAATACACTCAAATATGCTTATGTTCAATGCTCAAAAAATCTCACTATTGTTTGAAAGGAGTCACTATTAAAATTTTGTTAACGTTGTGGTACCCAAGACACTGGGCTTACTAACAAAATCATACTTCTGTAAAAAAATTAATATTTACAATCAAAAGCTCAGTGCAACATTAATTTGGGTTTTTTAAAAATTTGGATTAGCAGAAATAACAGGATTAGCTTACCTCCAGATATACATATCCATAAATAGAGCTAAAATTAGGGCACCAGCCAGAATGCTTCACATTTGGAGCTTTCTGAAGATAGGGATATGGCCATGTTCTTGCCTCATAAATATTCCTGTAGTCATCTTCACTTGTTGAAGCACTGAACAAGGCAATTGTAGGATCATATCGGTCCAGGAACAGAGGCTTTCTACAATCTTATTAAAAGACATTAAACTGTGTTATTACTGGCATCTTCCTTCTATAAATTACGATCTCAAACACAAGAGTGTGTTTCACCACATTTGCATGCACTAGAATAGAGTTAAAAACACAATGTGCAGCAGAGTATTTTTGATATACTTTAAAGGTTTTGTGAAACAGGGTAAAATGTTCATAGTTTCAAGTGTTTGATACGTCTTCTCAATCCAAGCAAAAACTGTGAGTAGAAAATGGATTGCAAAATTTTATGCTAATTATAAGATTAGACATACAAACACTGTTAAATTTATGAACTTGGTAAATTATTATAAAAATGAGTAAAGGAAGCTATGTACAAGTTTGACAGTTCTAGGTTGTAAAAAATGAGATTATCAATAATCAGAGTTCACCAGGACATCTGCTTCTGGCCAGCAGATGATCCCCTCACGCATGCATAGTTAAGTCACTGCCCTGTAGTTTGCCCTTGTGGCCCTTGTGGTCTTGCTTTGCATAGCTTTGTTGCTTTTGCCTTTGGTTTGCCCCATTCCACATGTCTCTCAGGGTTTGTACCCTTTTTCTGAAACAAATTTCCAGGACTTTTCCAGGACCTTCCCAGGACTCTCATTGATTTTTCCAGGACTCTAAAATTCACATTAACCCTTCCACTCCCAAGATCTCAATGTTAATTCTCCTTACTGTCTGCAATACATTTCATATTTTTACTTGAGTTTAACAGATTTCCAGAACTTTCCAGGACCAGTAGCCCTTTTCCAGGACTTTCCAGTCCTGGAAAATGTCACAGTAAAATTCCAGGACTTTCCAGGTTTTCTAGGACCTGTACGAACCCTGGTCTCTTGGTTCATGGTGGGCTCTGCGTCCAGGTAAGAACATTTATTCTCCACTGAGAATTCAGTGTGACAGATGCCAGGCCCAAGGGGGAGATGAACTGAAGCAGGTTGCCATGGTTACCCCTTAATTTGCATTTTGCCCACACTCGCTTGTTCATTGCCTGCTTTGCTGTCCATTGGCACCTACCAGTAACCCTCTATTTGAATACTTCTTATTGACAAGTTAAATTCAACTAAAACTCACTTAAAACTCTTCACTAAAACTCTTACACATCTATCTGGTTTACCGTTATTTTACAGAGACGTGCCTGATGCATGGCAGAGGATTGTGGCTCATACTTCCTTAAGCAAGAATGAGGTGGAAAATCAGATTATTTGGAACAATAAATTTGTTACAATTGCGGGAAAGTCAGTATTCTATCAATCGTGGTATGAAGCCAGAGTTAAATACATAAAAGATCTGATAACTGAGGATGGAAATTTAATGACACTTACATCATGTTCTATTGGGATCAACTGCTTCTGGTTGGTTGGGTTAGTTGCACTGGGTTTTTTCGTGTTCTATTGGTGTAAAACCGTTTTTGGTTGGTTTGGTTGATCAACTTTTTCATCCTGCAATCTCGACCCTCATGACAAGTTTTCTAGTCTAAGTACGTTTAAAAATTTTCTGCCCTCCACTTATTTTACCTTACTGGACACAACTTACAATATTGATATGCCCTGCACTCGGATCTTCTCCCGCAACTGCACTTGCCACTGTTCCTAAGACTGATTCTACTTGCACCTTACTGTGCACTATTAGTACTGTTATTAGTTATTAATTAGATTTATTGTAATTCTATTAAATTTTAGATTGTTTTATTATTTTTTGTTTTTAGATATAGGGCTGCGCCTCACATAGGATACTTTCCTGTTTATGCAATCCCTTTTGGTCTTTACGTTTTATTTCTTATTGTTTTGCTATACAATTTTATGAGCATATATTTACCTATGAGACTAATAAAGTTGATAGACGAAACCAGTTGAAACGGTTCAAAAAGCATTTTCGTGATTATGTCACATGATTGCAGCCCGCATAAGGACTATTCCCAAGAGTTAGCGAGTTTTAACCAAAAACGATTGGAAAAGTGTTATATTGAGAAACGTCACCGTATCAACAAAAACCGGTTGCGGTTGAAACGGTTGATCCTAATAGAACACGACCTTAATGTTTTCCAGCACACCTTCAGCATTAAAGTACACTTTTTGCAGTATTAAGGGCTTTTAAATGCTATTTCCACGAGCTGGAAAAAGAAACTCCAGAATAGCTACGAGGAAAATGAAACTAACAACTGCAAAAATAAGATTATTGATACACAAAATATTTGAAGTAATATGCTTAGACAAATACTGACGAAAAAGACTTTTGAGAAGTCCACCTCAGTGGGAAAGCTTGAAAGGGCAGGTTTTCTGCAGATGAAATTTCACATATCTATGAGCTTCCTTTCAAACTAACTCTCGATGTCAGAAAGTCAGTTTTTCAATTAAGATTAACCACAACATTCTGTACACAAAAAAGGCTCTTTAGAGATAGGATAACAGAGAACGACAACTGTTATCTTTGCAGCGGCAGTTAAAGACTGACGCACCTCTTTGTTGAATGTGATTTTAGTAAAGAATTTTGGATTGATTTTACTTCTTGGTGGAATTGTAAAAGTAACATGCCAATCAAACTCCATCAACGTGATAATCTATTTGCTTTTTATCCCCGAAAACAGTCCTTCTTAGGCATTAATTACTGTTTGCTTGTGGCCAGAAATCACATCTATATTTCTGCAAAAAATGAAGACCCCTTCTGGTTTACCTCCTATCTCAGATTTTTAAAAAAACAAGCTCTGGATCAACAAAAAGAAGATTCAAGACCTTGTTACTCTTTAGAGCACTTTTGCTTTGTTCAATTCTTGTGAGTGTTTATAAGACCGTAATTCATATATTTTGTGAAATGGTTCTTTTCAGTTAGCTTTTTACACTGGTCAGTTGTAATTTCTTTTTGCAAGTTGTTACATTTTAATTTTTGTATTTTTTTTTTTTTTTTTTATAATTGTATTGTATGTTACCTTTCTTCAGTGACTAAATAAAATAAAGGGTTATTTAAAAAAAACAGTTAAATTCATTTGCCTGATAAG